AAAACAAAAAGAGAGAGAGAGAGAGAGAGAGAGAGAGAGAGAGAGATAGGGTTTGGGATGCAGTTCAATAGCAAAGTGCATGTTTAGCATGTACAAAGCCCTGGTTAAATCTCCCACAGCAACAAATGGGGAAATGTGGAATATCTCTCTATTAATAACAAATAACAATATCCAAGATACATTAAGAAAAAAATCAAAACGTAAAACAGGGCTAATATTTTTGTTAGAATGAGAAGAGTCATTTGTATTGCAAAGTGTAAATACATATATAACCTTATTTTTGGCAGCGGGGATAAAGGGGATCAAACTCAGGATCTTGTATTTACGAGGCAGGCAGCAACACCACTGAACTAAATCCCCGGCCCTACATATAACCTTTCATAAGCTTGCAGCATTTCTGAAAAGACACACAAGAAAGCTGGTCAGTGTATTCCCCTAGCAAGGAAATTAGAGTATGACTAATTTCCACTGGATATATACTTTACCTTTGAATGTTAAGCCACATAGATAGCATTATTTATTCAATAAATTAAATAATTCAAAATTAATTAACTGTAAAGTTTCTATTAAAAACAGAGAAAGAGACAGACAGGTACAGTGGTTAAAACACAGGCTCAGTTTGCTTAGGTTCTAAGTCCTGCTTCCACATTCAACCACTTAAGCAGGGCTGGGTGAGCTTAGGCTCTACAAACTCCAGTTTCTTCTGTGTTGATAGCTAACAATGGACTGAATGAACCATATCATGTTTTTATAAAAGAATAAGATAATGCACATGGCGACAGACAGTTACAGGAAGTGGTAACTGCTCATTCAGCAGAGATTTGTATTTCTGAGGGAAAGGTTTTTTATTATTACCTGCTTTTGTTTAGTTTTACTAAAAAACAAACCAGCATGGTTTATCTGCCTAAGATAATAAGGTGTTGCAGGGGTATGGGGAAAAAATGAGAACCAAGACCTGTTATGTAAGGGTACAAGATCCCAATGATGAATGTAACTGTACTGTATACTTAAAAAGTACCAATAAACTCAATAAGATTAAAAAAAATATATAAGGTGTTAAAGAAAGGTACAGAGAGAAAAGTCTAAGCAAACTACCAGGGAAGTAGAGGATTTGGAATTGCACAGAAAAAGAAATATTTTCATTGTGGGAGGAACGGGAGGAAAAAATGAAACACATAACAGATCCTAAATTTTGAGATTGAGAACAAGAAATAAAAACTTTCCCACCAAGCAGAATTCTGCTAAGAAGAAAGAAGATAATGGTCCATCTTTAAAAACTGGTGACGCTTTGAAGAGCTACTAACATTAAGAGAGAGGCTTAACTGAATTTTAGAACAATTGTTTTGCATCACAAATTTCAGGACTGTGTAGTTCCACCAAATGGTTTCACCAAACAGCTGTATTTTCTTGTAACGTTTTATAATCCAGGTATGGGGCAGCACAGAGAGATAGATAGATAGATATAGATAAATAGACCGACAGACGACAGATAGACTGATTAAGACAAAGAAAACTCTGCTGAGCATGGATAGGCATGACTCTAGTCACTCTCAGACTCTGAAGGCTGAGGCAGGAGGATCACCTGAGAGACAAATGCGGCAGGGAAACAAGCAAGATTCCCATCTCAAAAAAGTAGAACTCTGCAAATTTGTTGTTATGGAAAAGAACTGGAGATCTCTGAAGAGACAA